TCCATTTGAAGTCACAATAAAACAATAAAGCCTACTTAAGGTCTTATTGCTATATAATTAACTAGCCCAAAAAGGAATAAAATCCTGCAACAGCAAACATATTTTTTTTTTCCTTTTTGTTGAATATTTGTAGATTTGAATGTTAAATTGCATTTATAGAAAACTGAACAGTTGTACATGGCTTTGAATTGCTCAGTTTTTTCTCTCAGGGCGCATCCCTAAGAAGATTGCGAGCTGGCTCAAAGACTGCAGGTATAGTAGTGTTGCATTATAATGAAACCTTTACATTTGCATGTAAATAAAAATCCTGACTCACTGTGTATCAGGGTGGCTGGTTTGGAATGCCTAGTGACTAGGTCAGTCAGCATAGTGAGGAAGGTAAATACTTAGTATTTGTCCTTGTCACTATAGGCTAGCCTCCTAGACATGCAGTTAGACATCATTTGAATAAAGACTTGTGGTTAAATGGGACTGGATGGCTGGCTTCTCAGGAAAGTAATTGTTTGGTGTGACTATTGGTTACTTGTTACAGCTTGGGGAAGCTTGTATTCCCAAGTGAAAAAAAAGTATATATGAATATATTTAATGTATACTAAAGTATACTTAAATATACAAACATTAAAATAATATACTTCAAATACGAGATGTATTTTTTTTAGTATATCTTAAGTATAAATATAATATCATTACACTTCAACACACTTATTAAAAGTGTACTTTATATTCATAGTTTATTCAGTCTTTTAGTATACTATAAATATACTATCATCAACCTTCAATACACTTATTAAAAGTGTACTTTAAATTAATTGTTTTACAATCTTTAAGTATACTATATGTTCACTATCATTTAAACTTAAACACACTCTTTAAAACTGTACTTCAATTTCAAATGCTTTAATTGTAGCATTGATTTTTGAAAATGAAACTCTGCTTGTGAGTGATCAAGTACACTATAAGTATACAGTGCCTTGCAAAAGTATTCATACCCCTTGGATTTCTTCACATTTTATTGTGTTAAAAAGTGGGATTAAAATTGATTTAATTGTCAGTTGTTGTCAATAATGAACTCTAAATACTCTGTAATGTCAAAGTGGAAGAAAAACAGAAAACATATAATATTAATACAAAATAGATAACTAAAATATAGTCATTGCATAAGTATTCAGCCTCTTTGTTTAGTCAAGCCTAAATTGGTTCAGGAATAGAATTTGGCTTAACAAATCTCAGAATGTGTTACATGGACTCTGTGTGAAACAATAGGGTTTGACATTATTTTTTTTATGACTAACCCTTCCTCTGTCCCCCATACATACATATGTAAGTTCCCTCAGTCAAGTATTGAATTTCAAGCACAGATTCAACTACAAAGACCAGGGAGCCTTTCGAAAGCTTCATTAAAGGGCAGTGATTGGTAGATCGGTAACAATATCAAATCAGACATTGAATATCTCTTTAAGCATGATCAAGTTAATAACTATGCTGTGGATTATGTATTAAACCACGAAGACACATAAAGATAGTTGTCCTTCTGAGCTGCAGGACAGGAATGAAACTGCTCAGGGATGTTACCATTGGTGATTGTAAAACAGTTGGAGATCAATTGCTATGATGGGAGAAAACTGAGGATGGATCAACAACATTGTAGCGACTCCACAATAATGATTTAAATGACAGAGTGTAAATAATATTACAAATATACAGAATTGCAACAAGGCACTAAAGTTCTGACTTAAATCTGCTTGAAAATCTATGGCAAGACTTGAAAATTGCTATGTAGCCATGATAAACAACATCTTGACAGAGCTTGAATAATAAAGAAAATAATAAAGGGGTAATATTGCACAATCCAGGTGTGGAAAGCTCTTAGAGATTTACCCAATCACTGCTGTAATCGCTGACAAAGGTGTTTCCAGCATGTATTGACTCAGGGAGCTGAATACTTACAGTGGGGGAAAAAAAGTATTTAGTCAGCCACCAATTGTGCAAGTTCTCCCACTTAAAAAGATGAGGCCTGTAATTTTCATCATAGGTACACGTCAACTATGACAGACAAAATGAGAGAAAAAAAATCCAGAAAATCACATTGTAGGATTTTTAATGAATTTATGTGCAAATTATGGTGGAAAATAAGTATTTGGTCACCTACAAACAAGCAAGATTTCTGGCTCTCACAGACCTGTAACTTCTTCTTTAAGAGGCTCCTCTGTCCTCCACTCGTTACCTGTATTAATGGCACCTGTTTGAACTTGTTATCAGTATAAAATACACCTGTCCACAACCTCAAACAGTCACACTCCAAACTCCACTATGGCCAAGACCAAAGAGCTGTCAAAGGACACCAGAAACAAAATTGTAGACCTGCACCAGGCTGGGAAGACTGAATCTGCAATAGGTAAGCAGCTTGGTTTGAAAAAATCAACTGTGGGAGCAATTATTAGGAAATGGAAGACATACAAGACCACTGATAATCTCCCTCGATCTGGGGCTCCACGCAAGATCTCACCCCGTGGGGTCAAAATGATCACAAGAACGGTGAGCAAAAATCCCAGAACCACACGGGGGGACCTAGTGAATGACCTGCAGAGAGCTGGGACCAAAGTAACAAAGCCTACCATCAGTAACACACTACGCCGCCAGGGACTCAAATCCTGCAGTGCCAGACGTGTCCCCCTGCTTAAGCCAGTACATGTCCAGGCCCGTCTGAAGTTTGCTAGAGTGCATTTGGATGATCCAGAAGAGGATTGGGAGAATGTCATATGGTCAGATGAAACCAAAATATAACTTTTTGGTAAAAACTCAACTCGTCATGTTTGGAGGACAAAGAATGCTGAGTTGCATCCAAAGAACACCATACCTACTGTGAAGCATGGGGGTGGAAACATCATGCTTTGGGGCTGTTTTTCTGCAAAGGGACCAGGACGACTGATCCGTGTAAAGGAAAGAATGAATGGGGCCATGTATCGTGAGATTTTGAGTGAAAACCTCCTTCCATCAGCAAGGGCATTGAAGATGAAACGTGGCTGGGTCTTTCAGCATGACAATGATCCCAAACACACCGCCTGGGCAACGAAGGAGTGGCTTCGTAAGAAGCATTTCAAGGTCCTGGAGTGGCCTAGCCAGTCTCCAGATCTCAACCCCATAGAACATCTTTGGAGGGAGTTGAAAGTCTGTGTTGCCCAGCGACAGCCCCAAAACATCATTGCTCTAGAGGAGATCTGCAATGGAGGAATGGGCCAAAATACCAGCAACAGTGTGTGAAAACCTTGTGAAGACTTACAGAAAACGTTTGACCTGTGTCATTGCCAACAAAGGGTATATATCAAAGTATTGAGAAACTTTTGTTATTGACCAAATACTTATTTTCCACCATAATTTGCAAATAAATTCATTAAAAATACTACAATGTGATTTTCTGGATTTTTCTTTCTCATTTGGTCTGTCATAGTTGACGTGTACCTATGATGAAAATTACAGGCCTCTCATCTTTTTAAGTGGGAGAACTTGCACAATTGGTGGCTGACTAAATACTTTTTTCCCCCACTGTATGCAACGACTATATTTTAGGTATTTAATTTCTATCAATCTTTAAAAATAAAATAAAAAAATTGTGTTGATTGTTGACAAAAAATTACAATTATTATCCATTTCAATCCCACTTTGTAACAACAAAATGTGAATATATCCAAGGGGTATGAATACTTTTGCAAGCCACAATAATGAGTTTTGAAGTACTTTCTGAATTCCTGTTCTGAAGAGTGCAGTGAAAGTTGAAAACGATCGCATCCTTTTCTGCAGTTGAAGTTTTGATTTATAATATGATATTGTTCCTCATATTTAGCTTATTCAAATGTTTTGATGTTCATTTTCAAACGGAATAATGTTGTACTTTTAATTACACATTACATATTACACATTTTATTGAAATGTTAATGAGGAAGGCCTTAGTCCTTAATGTGAACAACTAAAGTGTTAAATGCCAATATGGACAGTTCTTAAGTGTTACTTGTAAATTGCTGCTCCAGCCATAACTGCTTTGTAAATAGCATGTTAACATTGGCTGAGAAGATGCCTTGGTCAATCAAGGTAACCTTTACATGGCTAATTACAATAGCTAATGTGGTTAATGAGTAAAAGTGTATTTGTAATAGTATACTTGAAATACATTATAAATACACTTTTTTTGTAAAGAAAATTCAGGAATTCTAATTAAAATACAATTTTACTATATTTCTAATTTATGAGCAATATATATACATTGTACTTAAGGTGTATTCAAAGTATATTTGTTTTGCTCTTTATCTAATATATTAAGAATATATTTAAGTACAAAACAAGTGTCCCAATATATATAATTTTTAATGTATTTAATATACTTAAATGCCAATAAAATACTAATCAAATTGACATTAAATGTATTTAAAATAGTTCAAATTTAGATCATTTTAAATACACTTAAATCATACTTCATTAACATATTTTAAGTATATTTAAATACAATTCCCGGTTTAGTTTGCCTGCTGTGTTTGATGTGTAGGATCCACAGAGACTTGTGACAGGGTAAATGGCTCCCGGGAAGAATTTCCTTGCTTACTAATAGCCTGGGTCATGTTCATTAGGGTTCATCGCTGTACTTTAGTGCACAAGTTGATTAAACAGACATTACCATGGAACTTAGAATCTGTTTATTCAGTCAAATATTATAGTTGGTTAAAAAAACAACACAAACATACGTACATGAGCAAGACTGAGTGAGATAGAGGGAGAGAGCAAACAGAAAATAGCATGATGTAATGTCCTTTTATGAAATCTTCATTATGGCAGGGCACTGGTATAGGCCTACAGACAGCTGTTACATGTTCAAAGTGCAGTTAACCTAGATGTTACATGATCAGAAAGCATATAGACTTGAGTTGGTCTGACTCACTCATTATAGAAGTACAGTAAGATTTGAATACAGAAGTTTACATCAGAAAGCATAGGTCTGGGAGAGTGACCATATGGAGGAGTTTGATCTATTGACAGAGAGGTGAGGTAGGGAGCTTGGAGACGGCTAGAGCAGAGTTAGGGATGTTATGTAACGTGCTACCTTAGACTAGAGCAGGGCTCTCCAACCCTGTTCCTGGAGCGCTACTGGCCTGTAGGTTTTCAATCCAAGCCTAATCTAGCGCACCTGATTCTAATAATTAGCTCGTTGATAAGCTGAATCAGGTTAGTTACAACGGGTTGGATTGAAAACCTACAGGAGGGGAGCTCTCCAGGAACAGGGTTGGAGAGCCCTGGTCTAAGGGCAAATAATAGCAATGTAGCACATGTTATTGTTCTGTGTGTGGGAGCTTTATGTCAAACAAGATTTGCATGATACAGTAACTATAGTACTACTGTACAATAGGATTCGGTGTGAATTGTTCTGCTGATATGTGCGTAGTTGACGAAAATATGAAATAGTTGTAGTGTTGTTTGTGTATGGGTCTTCCTGTGTGTATGGCCAGCAGGCTCAGAGGAAATGAGCCAGCACAGCAGTTTCGGGAGGATAGACACTAGAGACTAGTGGTGTCCAACTAATTTAGCCCCGGAGGCCGCATTCGTATGGATATAGGTCCATTATTTCGACAGTTTGAATTTGGTTTTGGTCATTTTAAAGTATATTGTGTTTGTCTCTTCACAGGACTCCTCTTGGGGCCTCTCTGGATGAACAGAGCAGCACTCAGTCCAAGGGTGAATTCCCCTCCTCTACTATAACATCAGTCCTGTTCTATAAAACTAACTCTCATATGGAAAAAGATAATGTGTTAGTATATCTGTGGAGGTGGTGTGTGTGTCTGTGTGTGCCAAGGAGTATTTAGAAACTCTCACCACACCTTGGAGCCCTAGTTTACTTTGGAGCGTACTAGCCAGCTTCTTTACTCATACACCCACACTCACTCCAGTTACCAGTTGGTACCTTTGTCAAACTCTTATTGTCCTTGTAAATCGAAGTAAGAAACAGACTCAGGCACAATACAAGTATCCTGAGCTAAAAGGAATAACATTTAGATTCCCTGTATCCCCTGTATTTGCTTTAATGTCTTCCTGGTAATGCAAAACTACCTGGGCTGCTGGTGCCCTTTGATCAATGGCTATCTACAGTAGGTAAGATTTACCAACCAACCAGCGACGAAAGTCCTTGACGGTAAATATTTGTCCTAACCATCTGTAAATGTTTGTCATGGTTTGAAGCATTTGTCTGTTGTAGGCTGTTCAAACCATGCAAAATGTTTTTTACAGTCACAAGGTTTTTATTCGAATGGTTATGTAGTCTATTGTAGGGTATACAATGCATTCGGGAAATATTCAGACCCCTTGACTTTTTCCACGTTTCACTACATTACAGCCTTATTCTAAAATGGATTTTTTTTTTTAAGACCTCAATCTACACCCAATACCTCATGATGACAAAGCAAAAACAGGTTTTTAGATTTTTTTTGCAAATGTATAAAATATTACATTTACATAAGTATTCAGACCCTTTACTCAGTACTTTGTTGAAGCACCTTTGGCAGCGATTACAGCCTACAGTCTTCTTGGGTATGACGCTACAAGCTTGGTACACCTGTATTTGGGGAGTTTCTCCCATTCTTCTCTGCAGATCCTCTCAAGCTCTGTCAGTTTGGATGGGGAGCGTCGCTGTACAGCTGTTTTCAGGTCACTCCAGAGATGTTAGATCGGGTTTAAGTCCAAGCTCTGGCTGGGCCACTCAAGGACATTCAGTGACTTGTCCCGAAGCCACTCCTGTGTGGTCTTGGCTGTGTGCTAAGGGTCGTTGTCCTTTTAGAAGGTGAACCTTCACCCCAGTCTGAGGTCCTGAGCACTCTGGAGCAGGTTTTCATCAAGGATCTCTCTGTACTTTGCTCCGTTCATCTTTCCCTTGATGCTGAATAGTCTCCCAGTCCCTGCCGCTGAAAAACATCCCCACAGCATGATGCCGCCACCACCATGCTTCATCGTAGGGATGGTGCCAAGTTTCCTCCAGACATGACGCTTGGCATTCAGGCCAAAGACTTCAATCTTGGTTTCATCAGACCAGGGAATCTAGTTTCTCATGGTCTGAGAGTCGTTAGGTGCCTTTAGGCAAACTCCAAGCGTGCTGCCATGTGCCTTTTATTTGAGGAGTGGTTTCCATCTGGCCACTCTACCATAAAGGCCTCTATGGAAAGATGACTCTCACAAACACGATTTAACTAAAGGTATTTTCTGTCCTTTACAGGAGTGCTAAAGAATGGATGCGACTTTGAAGACTACTTTTGTCTGGGAGCTGAGGGTAAGTGACTAGACGTGTGTTAGGGTGGTGTGTGTGTGTGTGTGTGTGTGTGGTGGTGTGTGGGTCACTAGAGCAATACAATCTAGGACAGGGATGGGCAACTGGAGGGCCCCGCATGCTGCATAAAAAAAAAAAAAGAAGGAAGAAAAAAAAAACTGAAATTGGTGGGGAACTCAGTCTGGGCTGGCGTGGTTACACGTGGTCTGCGGTTGTGAGGCCGGTTGGACGTACTGCCAAATTCTCTAAAATGACGTTGGAGGCGGCTTATGGCAGAGAAATAAACATTACATTCTCTGGCAACAGCTCCTTCAAAACTTGAGACATCTGTGGGTGTTGTGTGGAAAAACGACACATTTTAGAGTGGCCTTTTATTGTCCCCAGCACAAGGTGCACCTGTGTCATGTTGTTTAATCAGCTTCTTGATATGCCACACCTGTCAGGTGGATGGATTATCTTGGCAAAGGAGAAATGCTCACTAACAGGGATGTAAACAGATTTGTGCACAACATTTTAGAGAAATACGCTTGTTGTGCGTATCAAAAATTATTTCGGGGATATTTTATTTAGGCTCATGAAAAATGGGACCAACATTTTACATGCTGCATTTATATTTTTGTTCAGTATATATTGGTTGCATTGCGCCAGGTGAGCTCACTCAAGCCCAGCTAAAGTATTTGAAATGATTTTGCCCAGGTGTGGTCACTTACACCACGTTGTTCATAGGAAGTGTGTTTTGGTATTCGTTCTTTTACAATGTCATTACTATCAAAGAGGGTAGTTACTGTATACTTGCCAAATACAGTCCTTTATACAATCAGACCTGTATGGAATGGCTTTGAGGTTTATTGTTGGTAGTGCATGGCTGGTGCTGTCAAAGCTGTGACTAAACTACATATTTCTCATTCTTCCACTCAGCTCAACAGCTGTAGTGATGAATGCTCCCTAATATGCTACTGTATGTTGTTGATCTCTTTTGAGAGTTGGGGTCAGTCAGATTTTTTACTGCATGGTTGAACTCCACACATTTCTATTGTGTTTGTGCAGACCAGAGACTGTGGATGGTAGGTAGTGTGTTTGGCTGAGGTTGGTTCCTGTAAGGTCGGCTCTGACATGTCTAGTCTCAGGTTCTGTCCCAAATGGGACCCTATTCCCTATAAAGTGCACTACTTTTGACCAGAGCCAATTTGGGTATTAGGGTGCCATTTGGGACGTACCCATACAGTGAAGCAAAGCAAGGGGCCTAGTCAAATCTGAGATCAGTGTTCTATTGTGTCCATGTCATAACGCCCCATGATGAGTCAATCTTACGCAATCTCCGGTCTAGCAGAGCTACAAGGTACAAGTCTCAACAGAAACCTGTATGAGGGCCCTTCACCATTCTGGCGCCAATCCACTCCATCAGTGAGTGGCAATGATGTGGATAGATGGATGTATGTAGAGAAAACATCACCACTTATTGCTACTGTTAATGCTCACACACACAACAACAGAATTAGGAGTAATTCAATGGAAACACATGCTTTGATGATTATCCTGCTCATTGAGGCTAAAGAACCAGTTAGGCTGATTGTGTTGGTTCAGTTCCAGGCAGGCAACTGACAATGTGTACTCTCCTGTCTCTGTCTCAACCAGGACCTGGGTTCAGATACTATTCGAAGTCTTTTAAATACTTTCAGTGTTTGCTCTAGCCTTCCTGGAGTGCCAGATGGGAGGAGTTTACAGTTTTGGGACTATTCTATTGATCGATCAAGCCAAGCAAGCTCAGTTAAGCTCAGATAAAGCATTTAAAATGGTACAGTATTATTTCGAATAGTATTTGAACCCAGGTCCTGGTTGAGACAGTCAAGCGTCCATGGTTTCTTTGCGTCACTAAGGCGGCCTGGAAGAAGCCATCAGACTCGGAGCAGGATTTTCTCCTGACAGATGAGGCTAGTCCAGACTTCAGGAGGACCCTCTTTACTCTCTGTATCTAAACCAGAATTCTGTCATTATGTTCCTCTTTGTCTCAAAGACAAGGATTTGGTTCTGGGGATTCTCATTTTGACAGTGGCCTCTTTTGCTTATGTTATATGTGTGAAAGGGAAGGCTTCTAATTTTTAGAAATGGTTGACTTGGAATCACTGCAAAAACAAACCATTCTGTGATGTTTCATATCTATTGTCCTTGATCACAAATGCTTGACAGCAGTCACCTTGATTTTATATTTTACAGAAGTAGAAATGTTAGTTTTTTCTATATCAGTATTTTCTACAGTATAAAAAGCTTTTTTCTTTCTTTCTTTCTTTCTTTCTTTCGTTCTTTCGTTCTTTCTTTCTTTCTTTCTTTCTTTCTTTAGCCAACCGTCTTCAGCCCAAAAGTACCAAAGCAGAGACACCTTGGTAAGTGAGACCACCCTCCTTATTCTATTGGCCACTCCTCACCCCCCTCAGTTCAGTCCCAGCAGTATTCTTACTGGCTGTGGTGTGAATACTTTATCGATCACCGCTTGCTCACTCTGCTCCCCAGCTATGGAATACCTGCAAAGGACAAGAGGAGCCAGTTCCTACAGACCAGGAGTATGAACTCAATAGGCTCAGGGAAGAGCAGCACCAGTGTTTCCAGGTGAGTAGTAGACACTCAGATGGGCAGGCCCTGAGCCTCAGCCAAGCTCTGTGGTTGGTTTCGGCCCTTCTGGGTTTGAACTGAAGCCAGCCAAAAAAGGTTTTGAGGGCTCTGGTTCATTCATATGTTACAGCGCTGCATTATTAGTATGGTAACCAGAACATTTTAGGTCCCAAGAAAGAGCTAAAAGCTGATACGCTGTATCAAGTTTAATAAAATAGTCTGTCAGAAGTTAGTTAGCGAAGAAGTTTTGAAGTATCTCTGTTTTATCTCAGATTTTTCATTGTTTCATTAATGGTTCAGCACTGCATTATTTCAACAGTGTATTTTCTATGCGTTCATTCTTGGATACCTGTAATACTTTGTTTGTGTCTCCAGTGTGTCTGAGTTGTTGGACCTGTATGAAGAGGATCCAGAAGAGATCCTATATAACCTGGGGTTTGGCCGGGAGGAGCTGGATATCGCCTCGAAGATCCCCTCGCGCTTCTTTAACAGCCCCTCTTGTGCTAAGGGCATCGACCTCAAGGTCTACCTGGAAGCACAGCTACAACGCACGGAGATGGAAAAACCCAACTATGCCCTGACAAGTATGTTAATGCTCTGTCGGTTTGCCTCCAACTGTCTCGCTTTGTCTTTCTATTGCTGTCTTGGTTCATGAGGGAGCTTGAGTGGGTCATCGAGCACTGCGAGAGAGGATCTGAGAGAGAGAAGACGGAGATCGAGACGAGGAAGCGAGAGAGAGAGTAGAGAGAGATAGCAGAGCGACAGGATCGAGAGCGAGAGAGAGCGATGAGACGAAGAGAGAGCTTAGCGAGATCGTCTTCTCGTAGCTCTCCTCATATCTGCTTCTCTATCCTATCGTCTCTCTATAGCTCTCTTCTCCTCTCTCTCATCTACTCTCTCTTCTCTCCTCTCTCTCCCTCTCTCTCTCTCTCTCTCTCTCTCTCTCTCTCTCTCTCTCTCTGAGCTGTGAAAATAGTGTATCGCCTGGAAACACTGATCGTATCACTGTTCGCTACCATAAAATGGTCCAGACATACTGGCATGTACAGTACCAGTCAAAAGTTTGGACACACCTACTCATTCAAGGGTTTTTATTTATTTTTTATATTTTCTACATTGTAGAAAAATAGTGAAGACATCAAAACTATTAAATAACACACATGGAATCATGTAGTAAGCAAGAAAGTGTTAAACAAATCGAAATATATTTTAGATTCTTCAAAGTAGCCAGGGATGAGAATCTCTCTTCAAGCCCTTTTGAAGTTTCAACCCTCCCAGTTAAGTTTGTGAGAAGTTTTGTTGTCTTCCTTTTGAGTTGTTGTTGATTTGCAGCAGCCCCACCACTAACCGAAGGCCTTGCTGTTTCTGTTTCTTAAGTGTTGACTTGACGTACAGCATACTGATCATGGGAATTATGGTTGACCTGTGAGCTGTGACAGCCTGTGCCTACTGTGCCCATGAAGCTGTTTTTTATTGTCATGATGCAGCTTTTTCTGTCATCATCCTCCAAATGAACTGCACCCATGAGGCTGAATGTGCTGATGAGAGAGACAAATATAAACAGGCTTTCTGGAGACTAGCTAGCTAGAGCCTTGGGTCAAAGGACTCAGCAAGTCATTGTTTCTATTATGATTCTTATTTTGCTCTCTTTATCGAGTTTATCAAGTTTCCTCTAAGCTAAAGGTTGTATTTTCATTCCAGTTTCCTCTCTCTTTCTTTCCCTGTAAAGGTCGTTTCCGTCAGATCGCGGTCCTGACCACAGTGGCCAACGAGTTATTCCATCTCTACTCCCAGGTGTCGGGCCAGCCCGTCCAAAAGATCTGCAGCCTGGATGGGGAACCCCTCACCATCATCGCTTCTTCTCCTCTGAAGAGAAACAACTCAGCCCTGAACGCAGCCAGGATCCTAAAGAAGACCATCACCAAGCATAACCTGTTTGGTGGGGCAGCAGAGGGAGTCTCTCATAGCCCCACAGCCCTGTCTACTACCACAGAGAAACAAGCAGACCAATTGAGTCTAGGTACAGGGGACAGCGCCATCACTACTGACTCCGACAATAAGGGGGAGCTCAAGCAGAAGGCCTTCATGAAGAAGGAATCTCCTTCTCTGGCTACGTTGACTGAGGACAGCCACTCTAGAGGCAGCACTGAAGCCCCCCTGAGCATCAACAGACATCACCCTGGAGTGAATGGAGACTGTCCCTTGCTAAATGGAAATGGCCAGAATCACATCTCGGTCACTGTCAGTGTTGTCCCTGAGGAGGCCCAGGAGGGTGACCTGAGCCTGTACAGCAAGGCTGACCTGGGGAAAGAGCACCAGAAAATCCATCAGAAGGGCCAGCAGGCCATCCGATCAACCCCAGACGAGGAACCTAACTACAGCTTGCTGCCCAACCCTCACATCGCCCACCTCCGCACGCAGGCCAAGGACTCCTTTGAGATGGAAGAGGTAGAGGACCATACTCACACACGGGTTGAGGGGGGTTCAATTCTTGGCTTAGTTGTACTGTTATACCGCTCCCTCTAGTTCAGTATACGTTTTGACAGCACACAGAAGGTTGAGAAGAGGGTGTTGAATTCTGGGCTTAGCAGTAGTAGGCTACTGTCCACCCAGTTTGAGATGGAGGTAGGACCGTCCGCAGAAACACAGGGTTGTGGAGAGGGATTCAATGATTGACTGAGTTTAGCTATTCTGCCCTCCCAGTTCAATATAACGTTTTTTTCTTATCTTTATCTCCTGGTTCTCACACTGGCCTGTTTTTCAAACCCTGGTTTTAGCTGTCCTAGCAGATATTGTGAGAAAAGCTAAGGTCACAAACTCGTGTCTATAAATAAGTAAGAAAATTATGAGAGAGCATATGGAGGGCCCTGGAGGCCAAGTTATTATTGTGACTCGATCTGCAGTTTTTCCCTCCTCTCTCTCCAGATCTCACAGAACGGGATTATAGTTACAGTAACTGGATGTGTAGAAGTTGCTCCAAGTGTTTTTCTGTTTGACTTTGTTTCACCACACAATAGAAGTAACTGTGGAAGCCTTATGTTCCACATACTGCAGGAACGAAGAGGATTAAGTTAGTAAAGAGTAAAATGTTGTCTATCTCTCCTCTCAGGTCCAGAGTAATGAGGATGAAGCTCTACCTGGAACATGCAGCACCTCTAGAGCTGGCAGTGGTGAGTCTGGCCTGCATTTTATACGCCTTATAAGACATTATAAAGGCTCATACTTGCTTATAACAAATCATAATACCTTTCAGCTTGATGTAAAGTGTTACCGAACTTTCCAACGTGGATATCCACTAATATGAACAATCACTTTATTACATTAAAACCATATGTTCTGTAGTTGATCAGTAAAATTAGTTAACTGGCATAATCACCATCTCTCAAATATTCACTCAAATGTTTTGTCTTATGAAAAGTAATTAAATACTACCGTAGTGTACTCTGATGGAATTCTCCATATTGGCCTTTTAGACAGACACACAGGTGTATCCTGGCCAGTTTTGTCCACGTCAACAAATTGTAGCACAGGTTTTAGATTAGTGACTTCAGGGAAGAAGAGCGCAGATATTTAGGGAACATTTTGAGGATGGTGATCGAATGGTTTAATTTAGCTATTATTTCTGAGAAAATTGCTACTTACAACACATGGACCCATGACAATCCATTATAATTGAGTAACCCATCTAAAACAGAGGGCCGCTTTTCTCATGAACTTATACATGTTTTATTAGATAAAACCTTATATAACGACTCAGTATATTTATTTCCCTACTGACCGTGATAATCTATTAGAACATAGAGCCTCAGGGATGTGCTCTTCAGGGAATCACTATAACCCAAAATACATGGAGCTGAAGTTAACTAAATGGATGACGACTGCCATCTGGTGGGGAACTCTATGTACTTTTTAAAATGTGTGTATAACACAAGTTATATAGATCGGTTGGTTGTTTAGCAACAAAACAGACACGTGCGCCACTATGGGGAATAACGGCTTAGATTTTTGATAACATGTTGAAAACATAAAGTTGCATAATGAGTACTTGTCTCAAATACATCGTTACAGTTGTTGGTTAGATGGCTAGCTAGCTATCTAGCCAATTTTAGCCATATTAGCATAGACATGTCAGTCAAAACACCTCAAAACAAGACATGGTATCAAGAACAAGATCAAACAAGTTGAAACAAGCCACTTATGATTCACCACATGGCCGTTTCTTGTGATTGTTGCTAGCTATCTGGCCATCCAGAACCATAACAACACAGGCCTTCTGCCCCTTTGAAACGTGCCCATTGTTTTCATAACATTGTCAGCAAACCCGACTATTGTAAATGTAATGCAAGTGTGTGATATCACTGTGTTGCAAAGATACCAATGGAACACAGATGTTTGACTCAACTACAATGTTTCTCGTAATTCCTATGAAAATGTTTATTACTTATTTTGTTTAAACCCAGATTGATGGTCCTCATGGACGTCACCGGGACCTGGCTATGATTTTGGGTCAGCCCCGAATCTTTTGCGCTGCTGCAAAATGTAATCAACTAAGTGCGCCACTTAGTTCATAGACCTGTGGTTACATGAAACTCCCGAAGTCATCCAACTGATATAATCAGGGGTGTAGTGCTGCTGGAGCGACGCTCCGCCACTTCTCAGAATCTCGCAAGGTCACTTAATGATGAATTAGTCATCTATATAACACACCGAATATAAAAGCATGATAATGTCAGGCTACTGTAATACCAAAAATACCATGTAATTTCTTATGACAATTTAGGATGATTGTGTTGAAATGTTGCATTTTTTTTCTTATGCAGTGGCTGTGTTTAACTCCATCTGCTCTAAAATTCGATTAGTTCGGCCGGTTAGCCACCCATACTTACATCATTCAAGAAGATCGAAAGGCATATTCCCATGAAACTGGTTGGGATCAAATAGTTGGCATGCATGCAGCATGGACGTTTCACCTGTAAAACGTGAAGAATTATCATTCACGATTGACATTGATGATGGCATAATTTATGATTTGGTGTTTTAGATTTTAAAAATAGAAAATGTTCCTTTAGCCACTTACAGTATGTGTAGGCATAGGCAATCATGCAATTTGAATTATGTATATTCTAAAATGAATTTATACAATAGGCTTCATATCTTCATGGGGCGGCAGGTAGCTTAGTGGTTAAGAGCGTTGTGCCAGTAACTGAAAGGTCGCTTGTTCTAATCCCCGAGCCGACTAGGTGAAAAATCTGTCGATGTGCCCTTGAGCAAGGCACTTAACCCTAATTGCTCCTGTAAGTCGCTCTGGATAAGAGCGTCTGCTAAATGACTAAAATGTAAAATGTCGGTACCAACTTTCATTCAGAAATGATGGGTTAATAATATATATATTTTTAAATGGCTCTCTGGTAGGCTACCTAAAAAAAATAGCACTACACCACTGGTTATAATACATGTAAAGCAATTGCCATGTGTGGTCAACTGATAATTGGGACAGCGTCATGGTGCTACTTTGAGACAAGCATGGAAACTCATCTTGATGAATCAGTTAATGTCAGATTTGAGTTTTCACTGAATCTCCATTTGGATATTTGGTTACAATCAGGCTGGGAAATGTTAACTAAGTTGAGGTGAGTGCTGATGATCATTAGTCTACCAATTGAAAGCAATGCAGATTTTCTCTACACACACACATTAGGCCTATAGCCTACCTGATGAGCTTCCCTGATGTTTTCCTGAACTTTCCAATACTTCTCTGATGCATTTCAGTCACTTAGCCTACTGATGCGAATACACATTTGTACACTTTTCCCATAGGTTATTCAAGTAATTTGAATAAGGCCTACATCGTTTCAATAACAATATAGCTGAAACCACTATTGGCTTCATTGACTTACTGAATGTATTCTCTTGTAATTTTAGGCTAGGTTACTTGCTGATAGATGATTATTTGTAATATTATTGTAACAGTAGACCTACCTACAGTTGAAGTCGGAAGTTTACATACACCTTAGCCAAATACATTTAAACAGTTTTTCACAATTCCTGACATTTAATCCTAGTAAAAATTCCCTGTCTTAGGTCAGTTAGGATCTCCACTTTATTTTAAGAATGTGAAATGTCAGAATAATAGTAGAGAGATTTATTTCCGCTTTTATTTATTTCATCACATTCCCAGTGGGTCAGAAGTTTACATACACTCAATTAGTATTTGGTAGCATTGCCTTTAAATTGTTTAACTTGGGTCAAACGTTTCGGGTAGCCTTCCACAAGCTTCCCACAATAAGTTGGGTGAATTTTGGCCCATTCCTCCTGACAGAGCTGGTGGAACTGAGTCAGGTTTGTAGGCCTCCTTGCTCGCACACGCTTTTTCAGTTCTGCCCACAAATGTTCTATAGGATTGAGGTCAGGGCTTTGTGATGGCCACTCCAATACCTTGACTTTGTTGTCCTTAAGCCATTTTGCCACAACTTTGGAAGTATGCTTGGGGTCATTGTCCATTTGGAAGACCCATTTGCGACCAAGCTTTAACTTCCTGACTGATGTCTTGAGATGTTGCCACATCATTTTCCTTCCTCATGATGCCATCTATTTTGTGAAGTGCACCAGTCCCTCCTGCAGCAACGCACCCCCACAGCATGATGCTGCCACCCCGTGCTAAACGGTTGGGATGGTGTTCTTCGGCTTGCAAGGTACCCCCTTTTTCCTCCAAACATAACGATGGTCATTATGGCCAAACAGTTCTATTTTTGTTTCATCAGACCAGAGGACATTTCTCCAAAAAGTACGATCTTTGTCCCCATGTGCAGTTGCAAACCGTAGTCTGGCTTTTTTATGGCGGTTTTGGAGCAGTGGCTTCTTCCTTGCTGAGCGGCCTTTCAGGTTATGTCGATATAGGACTCGTTTTACTGTCGATATAGATACTTTTGTACCCGTTTCTTCCAGCATGTTCACAAGGTCCTTTGCTGTTGTTCTGGGATTGATTTGCACTTTTCGCACCAAAGTACGTTCATCTCTAGGAGACGGAACGCATCTCCTTCCTGAGCGGTATGACGGCTGTGTGGTTCCATGGTGTTTATACTTGCATACTATTGTTTGGACAGATGAACGTGGTACCTTCAGGCATTTGGAAATTGCTCCCAAGGATGAACCAGACTTGTGGAGGTCTACAATTTTTTTCTGAGGTTTTGGCTGATTTCTTTTGATTTTCCCATGATGTCAAGCAAAGAGGCACTGAGTTTGAAAGTAGACCTTGAAATACATCCACAGGTACACCTCCAATTGACTCAAATTATGTAAATTAGCCTATCAGAAGCTTCTAAAGCCATGACATCATTTTCTGGAATTTCCCAAGCTGTTTAAAGGCACAGTCAACTTAGTGTATGTAAACTTCTGACCCACTGGAATTGTGATACAGTGAATTAGAAGTGAAATAATCTGTCTGTAAACAATTGTTGGAAAAATTACTTGTCATGCACAAAGTAGATGTCCTAACCGACTTGCCAAAACTATAGTTTGTTAACAAGAAATTTGTGGAGTGGTTGAAAAACAAGTTTTTTAATGACTCCAACCTAAGTGTATGTAAACGTCCGACTTCAACTGTACACAGTAACCTCATATGGGGTTACTGACCACAATCGATTGAATTAATAATAAAAAGTTGATGATTTGGCCTTGGGGAGAGCACAGCGCATGGAAGAAAACACAGCGCTGCAGGAAGGGCTGCTGGAAGGGCTGCAGATAAATTTGCAGCCTACATTTGCCAAATTATATAATTACTCCTGTCTCTATAAAATAAATGAAATCATTGAAAATACTACACCAGAATAATTCAGCCACAGAGGATCAATAGCTTATTTAAAAAATTGCGGTAGATTGTGTTTTGTCACATTATGAGCGTTTATGCCTTGTTTACAGTCGGGAAACCCACAATTAGGCAGCCGACGCGGCAAATATGAAACAGCTGATTGTTGATTTGTGGCTGTCAATGAACAGCAGACAGCTGCTAGAAGGTATTTCGCAATATTTCAAAATACAATTGTTTGAATAGGTGAGTGCCACTGGAAAGTTGGTGGACTATAATTTCCTCCTCATATTGTAGGCCTAAGATCTGTGTATCCACTCTTTTCAATGGCCTATGCTATTGGTTGCATTTAAGACATGGGTCATTCGTTTTATTGATCTCAGTATGTAAATGTCAGAGTAGCTTGACATTTTGATAATTTGTGTGGTATAAAAATATATTATTGTATTGTCTCCAGTCATGTAAAATGACGTAGAATTGCAGGAAATTATTTTAGAAAGGCCCTTTTATTCCTCAGCCCCACAAGCCCCTCGGCCCCTGGTCTTTAGGACTGAGCCCTGAATGTTATGAAACTCTGGTGATGGCCCTGATGGTCCTTACATACTGTCACCTTACATACTGCCATCTCTCTCTTTCCCTTTCTCTCTCCCTCTCTACATTACAGAACATCTACTGAGAACAGCCAGCCAGCAGTCAGACAGTAGTGGTTTTGCAGAGGGCCCCTCTACTGATGGCTCAGCTAACTATTTAACGGTACAGGAGAGGGCTGACAGCTGTAACAGTGAGACCCCGCTGACGTCCTACACTAGGGAGGTGACCACTCCTCTAGCCCTTGAACACCCTGCCTTCGAGAGGCTGCAGGTGGAGCAGGAACAGGAGGAGGAGGATGCGCAGACCCCTTTTGTCCTACAGAAACACCTTGAGGAGGAAGGGAGGGGGAGCAGGAGCCCTAATGGGGAGGAGGAGGAGCAGGAGGTACCAAAGTACACCGTCCACCAGTTACCTAAACCAGGAGACAGAGGAGTGACCCAAGACTCGGAGCAGGACCAGCAGCATAGCACTGCTGAGGAAGCTGCTTCTGTTCCTGCCTCTGAGACTCATCAGTCAACTCCTGAGACTTACAATACTATTGAGCTTTCCGTAGAGGCTGATCCTGACTCGGCTACAGTGCCTGGTCCTACAGAAGACCATGGCTCCATCCTGGCCCCAGACTGCAGCTCCTCTGGTGCCCCAGTCAGGGAGGGTGTGCCTGACAGGGTGGAGATGGAAGCCAGACCCTCCAGCCCTAGCCCCAGCTGCCTCATCCTCAGTGCCTCAGCAAGGGTCAACAGGGCCCTCCACAGGGCCCAGCAGAGGGCCTCCTCCCCAGGCCTCCAGGGCCCCCGGATGGAGGGGAAGGTAACAGCGAGACATCTGTTCAGGAGAAAAGCCCCCCTGACGAGGTCCCGATCCCTGCCTACCTCCCTCCTCAGCCCCTCCCGTGCGGTCTCCTCTGTCAGGATCCAGTTTGGCCAGGGGACAGTCAGGCACTGCACTCAGACGGTCTTTTCCTACCGATACACCCCAGAGGAGGGGCAGGAGGAGGAGCGGCAGGAGGAGGAGGTGGGGTCCATCGTGGAAGAGGAGGTTGCAGAGGGGGGTCAGATCTTAATTTTCAACAGAGAGGCTGAGCCATCACATGGCCCCGGGCTACAGAGAGATGGGGATCTGAGAAAACTTCAAGGCAGAGTTCCCCCTTACACCCTGGCCATCCCCCGCCACCTGACCCGCTCAACCGTCTCACTGCACAGCCCCCCTCCTGAGTGGGGAGAGAGACCTCTGGTGGAGCACCACCGTGCCTGGAGCACCTGTAGCGTACCTAACCGCACCCAACATAACCTGGCACAGCATAACCACCCTAACCTGAACCACTTCAATAACCCTAACCCCACCCAGCACAGCAACCCTAACTTCAACCTCACCCAACACAGCAACCCTAACTTCAACCTCACCCAACACAGCAACCCTAACTTCAACCTCACCCAACACAGCAACCCTAACTTCAACCTCACCCAGCACAGCAACCCTAACTTCAACCTCACCCAGCACAGCAACCCTAACTTTAACCTCACCCAGCACAGCAACCCTAACTCTAACCTCACACAACACAACCTAGCCCAACACAATAACCCTACCCTCCCACAGCACACAGCCCCCAACTTACCCCATCATATGGCCACTAACCATCCTCACCAGAGTCCTCTTTACACTAACAACATGGGCAACACCCTTCCACACAACTTCCCACACAGCACACACTACCCCTTTTCCCCGTACAGCTCCTCCTATAATACCCCGCCTCATAGCGAACCTTTCAGTTCACCTTACTATAACTACCACGGTAACCCCTATAGTGGGTCCTACAACTACCTACACAGCAACAATCCTTATACTGCCCATAGCTCTTACTCTAACCTGTCAAACACACCTTCCAACCTGCCTCCACATCTCTCTACTGCCCCCTATGGAGATCCATACAGTACTCCATACCCTGGCCACCATCCTTCATTCCCTTACCCCCCTGGAGTTGACCCTATGGGGGCAGCCCCTAATTCCCACCCTCCACCAGCCATGTCTACCACTGAGATGCAGCTCAGACGGGTCCTTCATGACATCAGAGGAAGTGTACAGAATTTGGCTCAGGTGAGACAAAACAACTACACACTACTGTAAATGGCTTTGGATTAAAGTGTCTGTTAAATATAGTATAGTATAGTACATAGGTATTCTATAACTTTCTGTTCTATAACCATCCCACCCATAATGCAAGCAGAGACGTTTGCATGCTAGTTTATCAGTGACTAATTATTTGATCTGTGGTTTCTCTGTGCTCAACAGAGTTCATCAGAACGCAGAGCAGACACTCCCTCAGACGTTTTTAATCCTCAGAGATCTGCCCAGCCACTGTTTGAGGTATTCACTCACCTGACCTGCCACTCTTACAGAAATGTAATCCATGATTACCTATTCTGTCCTCCAACCTCTCCTGGGTTGTCTTGGGGGTTGGGAAATAGGACAAAGACAAATCTCTGTGGCCTTTTCTCAGTTGGATTTGCTCAACTCCTGCATCCTCTCTCCTCCGTCCTCTCTCGCCTCCTTTAGAAAAAGGTCAAAGGTAATCGAGGAGAGGCGGCGTGGATGAAAATGCGCTTGTATGAAATGACTCCTTCTCCACTTGCATGTCATCAGGCAAACGTCTACGGGGTGGATCCCAAAATAAATGTGTAAAGTGATAAAAACATATTAAGTTAGTTGTGCAAGACATTTTATTGATACAATTATAAGTAGCATATTGTTTCTAAACCTGTGCGTGCTTTTCTCCTCCAACAAAACGAAAGCTGATTCAAAGGGGGCGTGGCAGATATCAAAACTCTTCTGCGAAGGATTACACATGACTATCCTTGATGGAAGGTGGCTATCGAGGAGGGGAGGACAGTCTTCCGTTCGCGTACTAACAAATTGACACTCGTTGACCACTTATCGGTTTCCAGGTCGCGAAGGAGAGAGTACGGAGGACAGAGGACGATCTTTTGCCCAAATGAAAATCTCCCTGTGTCGCTGTGACAATAGACAATAAAGTAATCTTCTTACTGTTCTCCCCCTCCTCCTCCCCTCAGACCTCTCTCCAGGAGGAGCTGCAGGCTAAGAGGAGGAGTCTGAATGTGTTCCGGACCCAGATGATGGATCTGGAAGTGTCCCTGATGAAACAACAGGCGTTAGTCTACCAGCACCTCAGTCACGACGAGAGGTAGGCTAGAGGCCCTCGCACTGGCTCGGACACGGATGTTAGCATAGTCTGTGACAGACAGACAGACAGACATTCATGCATACAAGTGTCTTAATAGGGCGTTGGGCCACCACGAACCAGAACAGCTTCAATGCACCTTGGCATAGTGTCTGGAACTCTATTGGAGGGATGTGACACCATTCTTCCACGAGAAATTCCAACATTTGGTGTTTTGTTGATGGTGGTGGAAAACGCTGTCTCAGGCGCCGCTCCAGAATCTCCCATTAGTATTCAATTGGGTTGAGATCTGGTGATTAAGGCGGTCATTGCATATGGTTTACATCGTTTTCATGCACATCAAACCATTCAGTGACCACTCATCCTATACGGGCATAGCCATGGTAGCAACATTAATGGCCTGCCCAGCATTTTTATACATGACCCTAAGCATGATTCACATTTACATTTACATTTTTGTCATTTAGCAGACGCTCTTATCCAGAGCGACTTATGATGGGATGTTAATTGCTTAATTAACTCAGGAATCACACCTGTGTGGAAGCACCTGCTTTCAATATACGTTGTATCCCTCATTTACTCAAGTGTTTCCATTATTTTGGCAGTTACCTGTCCATACATCGTAACAGTGGTCTCTTTCCGTTTGTGATTGCCAGGCAGGAGACTGAGCAGCTGCAGAGTCTGCGGTCAGCAGTGAGACGGGAGCTCCAGGAACTAGAGCTCCAGCTGGAGGATCGGCTGCTGGCCATGAACGAACAGCTCTGCTCTGCCAGCCACCACAGCCTCTACCGCCGCCGCATGGTCGGTACCTGAAACTATACCTGGAAACACACACACACACAGACAGGACTGACTGATACTCTCTCACCCTTTTTCTCACTCATAACTCCTAAAGATGTTGGATAAATGGTTTGTCATGACTCAGTTTGCTCATGGCACCAGTACTGTGGGTTCCTGTGGGTTCCTCTGGGTTCTTCTCATTTGACATGACATCAGGCTAGATGTACATCACTACTCTTGTGTTTGTTGTTTAGCCACCCATCATATCATCACGTACCTCTTCTTTAATGTAACATTAGTGTTGTTGATATTTATCTCTCCTTTCTCCACGGTATGAAGAGTGGTCACAGCATGGACAGCCTGTCTAACACTTCTGCTCTGAGAGCTATGGAGCCGGTGAGTACCTGCAGTGAGTCTGGGCTGTTCTTTTCTAGGTTGTTCCTCTAGGCGGTTCCTCCTGTAATGGTGTGTGTTCTATTCATAGAAATAGAATGAACTTGCTTTCACTTCCTAATATTGGTATCGTCAATATGGCTGCAGGTCCACCCATCACAGAACATTCACTTAAATAGGAATGTCTGTTCTAGGAATTCTAATTCTACAGTGCATTCAGAAAGTATTCAGACCCCTTGACTCTTTCCAAATTGTGTTACATTGCAGCCTTATTCTAAAATTGATTACGTTTTTTTTATTTTTTTTTATCATCAACCTACAGACAATACCCCATAATGACAAAGCATTTTGCACATTTATAAAAAAAAATACACTTACATAAGTATTCAGACCCTTTACTCAGTACTTTGTTGAAGCATCTTTGGCAGCGATTACAGCCTTGAGTCTTCTTGGGTATGACGCTACAAGCTTGGCACACCTGTATTTGGGGAGTTTCTCCCATTCATCTCTGCAGATCCTCTCAAGCTCTGTCAGGTTGGATGGGGAGCGTCGCTGCCCAGCTATTATCAGGTCAGAGATGTTCAATCGGGTTCAAGTCCGGGATCTGGCTGGGCCACTCAAGGCCATTCCTGCGTTGTCTTGGCTGTGTGCTTAGGGTCGTTATCCTGTTGGAAGGTGAACCTTCGCCCCAGTCGGAGGTCCTGAGCGCACTGGAGCAGGTTTTCATCAAGGATCTCTCTGTACTTTGCTCCGTTCATCTTTCCTCCCTGACTAGACTCCCAGTCCCTGCCGCTGAAAAACATCCCCACAGCATGATGCTGCCACCACCATGCTTCACCGTAGGGATGGTGCCAGGTTTTCTCCAGACGTGATGCTGGGCGTTCAGGCCAAAGAGTTCAATCTTGGTTTCATCAGACCAGAGAATCTTGTTTCTCATGGTCTGAGAGTCCTTTACAGTGTGGGGAAAAAGTATTAGATCCCCTGCTGATTTTGTACGTTTTCCCACTGGCAAAGAAATTATTAGTCTATAATTTTAATGGTAGGTTTATTTGAACAGTGAGAGACAGAATAACAACAAAAAAATCCAGAAAACCGCATGTAAAAAATGTTATAAATTGATTTGCATTTTAATGAGGGAAATAAGTATTTGACCCCCTCTCAATCAGAAAGATTTCTGGCTCCCAGGTGTCTTTTATACAGGTAACGAGCTGAGATTAGGAGCACACTCTTAAAGGGAGTGCTCCTAATCTCAGTTTGTTACCTGTATAAAAGACACCTGTCCACAGAAGCAATCAATCAATCAGATTCCAAACTCTCCACCATGGCCAAGGCCAAAGAGCTCTCCAAGGATGTCAGGGACAAGATTGTAGACCATCACAAGGCTAGAATGGGCTACAAGACCATCGCCAAGCAGCTTGGTGAGAAGTTGACAACAGTTGGTGCGATTATTCGCAAATGGAAGAAACACAAAATAACTGTCAATCTCCCTCGGCCTGGGGCTCCATGCAAGATCTCACCTCGTGGAGTTGCAATGATCATGAGAACGGTGAGGAATCAGCCCAGAACTACACGGGAGGATCTTGTCAATGATCTCAAGGCAGCTGGAACCATAGCCACCAAGAAAGCAATTGGTAACACACTACGCCGTGAAGGACTGAAATCCTGCAGCGCATGCAAGGTCCCCCTGCTCAAGAAAGCACATATACAGGCCCGTCTGAAGTTTGCCAATGAACATCTGAATGATTCAGAGGAGAACTGGGTGAAAGTGTTGTGGTCAGATGAGACCAAAATCGAGCTCTTTGGCATCAACTCAACTCGCCGTGTTTGAAGGAGGAGGAATACTGCCTATGACCCCAAGAACACCATCCCCACCTTCAAACATGGAGGTGGAAACATTATGCTTTGGGTGTGTTTTTCTGCTAAGGGGACAGGACAACTTCAACGCATCAAAGGGACGATGGATGGGGCCATGTACCGTCAAATCTTGGGTGAGAACCTCCTTCCCCTCAGCCAGGGCATTGAAAATGGGTCGTGGATGGGTATTCCAGCATGACAATGACCCAAAACACACAGCCAAGGCAACAAAGGAGTGGCTCAAGAAGAAGCACATTAAGGTCCTGGAGTGGCCTAGCCAGTCTCCAGACCTTAATCCCATAGAAAATCTGTGGAGGGAGCTGAAGGTTCGAGTTGCCAAACGTCAGCCTCGAAACCTTAATGACTTGGAGAAGATCTGCAAAGAGGAGTGGGACAAAATCCCTCCTGAGATGTGTGTAAACCTGGTGGCCAACTACAAGAAACGTCTGACCTCTGTGATTGCCAACAAGGGTTTTGCCACCAATACTAAGTCATGTTTTGCAGAGGGGTCAAATACTTATTTCTCTCATTAAAATGCAAATCAATTTATAACATTTTTGACATGCGTTTTTATGGATTTTTTTGTTGTTATTCTGTCTCTCACTGTTCAAATAAACCTACCATTAAAATTATAGACTAATAATTTCTTTGTCAGTGGGCAAACGTACAAAATCAGCAGGGGATCAAATACTTAATTCCCTTTGGCTTAATTCTTAATTCCTTTTGGCAAACTCCACAGTGTGCCTTTTACTGAGGAGTGGCTTCCGTCTGGCCACTATAACATAAAGGCCTGATTGGTGGAGTGCTGCAGAGATGGTTGTCCTTCTGGAAGGTTATCCTATCTCCACAGAGGAACTCTGGAGCTCTGTCAGAGTGACCATCGGGTTCTTGGTCACCTCCCTGACCAAGGCCCTTCTCCTCCGATTGCTCAGTTTGGCCGGGCGGTCCGCTCTAGGAAGAGTCTTGGTGGTTCCAAACTTTTTCCATTTAGGAATGATGGAGGCCACTGTGTTCTTGGGGACCTTCAATGCTGCAGAAATGTTTTGGTACCCTTCCCCAGATCTGTGCATCGACACAATCCTGTCTCGTAGCTCTACGGACAATTCCTTCGACCTCATGGCTTGGTTTTTGCTCTGACATGCACTGTCAACTGTGGGACCTTATATAGACAGGTGTGTGCCTTTCCAAATCATGTCCAATCAGTTGAATTTACCACAGGTGGAATCCAATCAAGTTGTAGAAACATCTCAAGGATGATCAATGGAAACAGGACGCACTGGAGCTCAATTTCGAATCTCATAGCAAAGGGTCTGAATACTTATGTAAATAAGGTATTTCTGTTTTTAATTTTTTATACATTTACAAAAACTTTAAACTTTTCTTTTTGCTTTGTCATTATGGGGTATTTTGTGTAGATTGAGGAACATTATTTATTTATTTTTTTACATTTTTTATTTTAGTCATTTAGCAGATGCTCTTATCCAGAGCGACTTACAGTTAGTGAGTGCATACATATTATTATTAATTTTTTCATACTGGCCCCCCGTGGGAATTGAACCCACAACCCTGGCGTTGCAAGCGCCATGCTCTACCAACTGAGCTACACAGGGCCATTTTAGAATAAGGCTGTAACGTAACAAAATGTGGGGAAGGGTCTGAATACTTTCCGAATGCACTATATGGTTTTACTCTTGTCGCACTTCACTGTGACATGCTTGTGGTTTGTGTGGTTTCTCCCTCCAGATGTCGAACCTGCTGATGGAACCGCTGTACCTGCAGACAGAGCTGGGCTATGAGGGCGGGGCAGAGGGCAGACCTAGCATGGCACCCACCCCGAGCTCAGGCCGCTCCTCCAGGTCAGCCAGTCCAATGAGGTCCTTCGGATGTCACCCAGGCTCCTCCCACACCCCAGAGCTGCCTCTCCCAGGCCCCCAGAAGACAGAGGTGTACCGGGCCTCCATCTCCCTCACCCCAGCCCCCCCTCCACGGCCTGGTGCCTCCACAGGGGCCCCCCAGGGCCAGATCAGTCCTCCAGAGGCTCAGTACCATGCCATAGGCCAGGCACTGACAGGAGAGCAACATCCAGAGGATCGAGCACAAGGAGAGGACAGAGGAGGAAGAGGGGCAGCTGTAGACCCCCACCTGCTAGAGGAGAGGGGTAGGGAGGGAGGAAGAGGAGGAAGGTTAGGAAGAGGAAGGGCAGACAACCCCCAGCTACAGCAGCTCATCAAGGAGGTTAGTGAGCTCAGTGTGTTCTAAGATTTGTCCTTCACTGAACTATGAGTGCTCAAATTGGACTCTGCCCAGTGCCTGCCAGTATTTGTGTTTGAGGTGCAATAACAAATGCCAATATCACCCAGGACATGTTTTATTATGTCCTTGGCTGACGGACAAGGTTACTACATTCTTATTGACAGACGATTCCGCTCATGAAAAATCATTCACTGAGCTGATTTTAAGAGCTTGTCAGGGGACAAATGGAGCACATTTTGAAGCTTGAAAATGGAAGTTGGATTCCACAGGAACCTATGGCTATACTATAGGACTACTTCTTAGTCAGTGGCCTGATGTCAGTGTTTGGCAGGGCTTTAAAGATGGAATCTGCATTAAGGGGAAATTACACAACTGGCCGCCCCACCACTGTTGTTATTGTTTTTTTTTGCCGAGGTGAGGAGCATCGTGCAGCATGGTGAAAAAAATGCTGTACATATTGTGCTCTTTTATTGCGCGTACATTGATGTCCAAGCGGGAAAAACAGTGTTCATGTTTGCAGTAACTTCTTTGTTGTTGTAATGTTGCAAACGGAAGTGGCAGTTTCACCATTTAAGGATTTCAGCTTGAATTGTTTTGAGGGATGAGAGGTGTCTGTCAGTGTGTGTTTTGTGTTTCACACATCTGTTTAAAATCAACTTTATTTATGAAGCCTGATTACAGCAACAGAACAGGGTGTACTGCCAATACTGGGTCGTGTTCATTAGAGCACTCTGTGGCAAAACGTTATGCAACGATAAACAAGCATTTCTTAATGGACAAGTTCTGATGGCACCTCCTTGTTTCACTCAGTTTCTGAGCATTGTCTTCTGTTTGAATGTAGTCAGTTCTTCTGTCCCTACCTATCAAAGAGACCATTGATTGATTGATTAATTGATTAGTCTCTCTGTGTAACTTCTGTCCTCTACCTCAGATCAAAGAGAGCCTTGCTGATGAGATCCGACAGGAGATAGCCAACGAGCTCCTAGCGGCCGTATCTCCACGACGATCACCTGTGTTGGCCAGAGAATACCCCCTGTTAGACTGTTGACAGGTCCTACATCTGAGGTGTGTCTGTCATTCTGCGGGTAGAGAAGCTCTCTGTTCATACTGAAAGTCATCTCTGAGTATTTCTTCACTAAGCCATGAATATCCTTTCATGTTATCTACACCCTGCCGTAACTAGAATCCCTGTAGCAATCCACCACACCTGATCCAGCGGAGCCTAGCTCAGTTCAATTCATACACTTGTACAAATTGGTTCTTCGAGCCAAATAGACCTGTTGCGATTCAGCTATCCGCTGGCATCTCTATAGCTTTCGGCTAGTGCCCCTATTTCTTGATGTGTAAAGAGTGTTGTTGTTTTCTCCTGCAGTTGAAGATAACCACTGGTGAAGCCTGCTAAAGTCTACCCATTCTACTCAACCTGAACACTGGTGAAGCCATGCACCGAACAGCACAACAACCTTTTACCACTGTTTCTACTATTTCCAGAGAGTCTGATGATGGCAGAGACCTTAACACTGTTTCGACCTTTGAAGTAGAGTTTTATTTCTATGGTTTCTACTCCAGAGAGTCTGCTGACCGACAAATACTCTGGGGCTTCATTTATAACCGTTGCGTAAATTTCATACTAAATATCTGCGTGCGCCATTTCTGAAAAGACTGCATATGTACACAAATATTGAGATTTATAAACTTGCCATACATACATATGTATACTGTTATAAATCAGACCCGTCCTGAAACTGTGCGCGAGTGAAAGAGCATTAGAACTCCGCCAGAAAAACGCCCATCATTCACCTTTTATGGTGACAATAACGCCCTTATTTGCTGTATACTTTGGAAGTACTCGACTTAGGCCGAGGCAGTTTTCTAAACGCAATAGCGAACTTGATCAAATGTCTTTGGAGGTGATTGCGTAATGTTAAACTTTTGCAGTGACATTTGCTGTAGGCCTAGGCTACAAAAAGTTTATGAAAGACAACAACAATTGCAAATTGCTGTGGAGCAGTAAGCAGACCGTTTGAATTTAATAGGGCCTAATGTTTTGCATTTACTTTTTCTCGAACCTATGCTGCGCTGCTGAACTGAACTGTCTGTTCACCTGTTAAATTCTACTGAATGTTATAAACCACGCTTCCTTTCTGATGCATAGAGCAAAATACTTGAAATAATAGCATATCTAATAGGCCCAATTAAATGAGAGATGCGCATGGTAATCTGTTGTAGGCTATGGCTACTTCGGGAATATGGACCCATAATGGCCAGAAAAGTTGAAGAATTTATTCTGCAATGGTTATGAAAAGTTGTATTATGTGTATAAATGTAATAGTGTCTACTCAAGAAATGTGAAATTACAGTATTCAGTCGTAAGCTACAGAAGTAACCTACAACCCGTCTGTTCCACCGTTAATAAAACTGCGCAACTCCGGAACAAAGGGCATAGAGCAAAATACTTGAAATAGCTTATCAATTTACTACTGTGAAGTGGGTCCAATTAAATGAGATATGGGACGAATGGTATCCTTGTTGTTGGCCTATATAGGCTACCTCGTGAGTATGAAACCATCACAGAAAAGGTGAGGAATTTATTATGCAATGATCACGGAAATGAAATAAATGATAGCCAGGGAAATAAATGCCTATGTCAATTTTTTTTAAATGCAAATATAAACTAAATATATTTTTGCTTTTCTCACTAACGGCAAGTTATTGCATCTTGTTATTAAACTGTTTATTGTTTTGCATAAGCGTGTCCATCATGTTCCCCATTTGCACAAAATATAAATGTACTTGCATGCTTGCAATGCAATACTTCAACCACTAGAAACTGTCGTACGCATGGTCTAAAGTCTGCAGGAAGGCGAGCACATTTTTACAACAAGTATAAATGCCAACTTTTGCGTGAACTGGCACACATGTTTTGGGGTATATTTTGTACCTACGCACGGTTTATAAATGAGTCCCCTGGTATCTTAACACCTGTATGCTGTGTGCCTTGGAGACACTAATGCTGCTGTATACTTGCTGTTATAGTGGAACTGTCTTGTTCTGTCTTAACCATCCTATTTCAAACACTCAGAATGTGACTTAGTGTGCTTATTTTGCTGAAGACTAACTACTGCATTACTCATGTTTTTTTTTTGTTTTTTTTAAGTTTTTTTTAGTCATTTAGCAGACGCTCTTATCCAGAGCGACTTACAGGAGCAATTAGGGTTAAGTGCCTTGCTCAAGGGCACATCGACAGATTTTTCACCTAGTCGGCTCTGGGATTAGAACCAGCGACCTTTCGGTTACTGGCACAACGCTCTTACCCACTAAGCTACCTGCCGCCCGTCATGTGTTGTCAACAGGGGTGGAATTGGATGGAACATGCAGAACTAGAGTTCACAAAGTAAAATAATTTTGACATGTACAAAATGTGTTTGAAGTAACTGCCCAGTGTTTCCAGATTTCTGTGAAATATGACCTATAATTACTTACAATATGAGTGAAATAGTTTTCCTTCAATGTTTTTATTTTTTATTAGGTATGTTAAAAAGCTGCTTTTCTGTGTTGGAATGGTATGGGCGTACCCCAACAACAGAATGGTGTGGGTATACCGGTCATTAAAAATATTCACGCAAGTAGACCACTGATTGGCTAGCTCCTCCTCCTCAGGGAGATGACATCATGTTCTATGAGGAAATGGCAAGCATTTTTGAAACATTCTCTGAGTTTCTAAAGTAAAAAAATATATATATATATTAATGCTTTGGCAACAAATATGAGTATAGGAATAGTCAACAACATTATTTGTATATGAGTTAACAGAATATGAACTCTTAAAAGTGAGATTTTCACTGGGCAGTTCTCCAATTCCATCTCTGGTTGTCGGTGACGTTATGATATGATCCTGACGTTGTGTATGGGTTGTATTTAAGCACGTAGATGTGGTTCAGGGTGCATCTCTTGTCCTAAAGGTGAAAAATAGACTTAAGGCCTGGTAGAAGATAATAATGGTTGTTGGGAATTTAGTGTCTGCTGTAAATAACCATGCCCTCTTCTTCTAATGCCATCTATATGAGGAACTAACCAGACCTGGTTTCAAATACTATTTGAAATCTTTTAAATACTTTGATTGTTTGCTCAGCTTGCCAATAGTGCCAGATGGGCGGGGTTTACCGTTTTGGGACTATTCTAATGGCTCATTAAGCCAGGCAAGCTCAGATAAAGTATTTGAACCCAGGTCTGGAACTAACTGTGCAATACATTTCACTGTCTCTGAACTTGAAAATATAAATAGTAGAAAGAGTATCTAGAGTTCTATCAGACGAGGTACTGTTCATTCTACTGTGTTTCTACTCTCCAGTTCAAGACAGCAGTCTGTCTCTATTATCTCTCTTTTTTATTACTCCTTTAAAGAAAATATCTCAGGGAAAATACATTTTGTGGTTTTAACGTCTATTTAAGATAAGAAATACAGGTAGGAATTTTTGTTAGTTTTTAATGTGAGACACTAACAAAAACACGCACCTGGGTCGTATTCATTAGGCACCAAACTGAGGAAAATGGATTGAATCGGGGAGGGACTAACTGGACTTACTTTCTGTTGAGTTTTTTAAAATAACGTTTTCCATTGTTACCCTAATGAACACAACCCAGGACAAAGGTGTGGAATGAATATAATGCATACATTTATCTTTAAGGGCTGCTTTTTAAAAACAGCAGTTGATGCAACCCTCTTAAACATGTTGTTTCTGGTTTGGACAAATTATATACATACTGTATATGTCTATGGTGTAGACTCTAGTACTAAATGCATGTAATCTATGTACTTATTTGAGTTTATCAAGCACAGCCACAGCCTAACAAAGCAGATGTCTTCCTAGAAGTCACAGATGGTGCACAAAGGGACAATTTGGGCACGTTAGCAAGTCTTTATTAAAAGAAAAAATCTGATTTATTGAATTTTCCATGTGGTGTATGTTAAAGGAAACTTCATTTAATAAAACAGGCTTTTAAAATTAAATATTGGTGCACCTAAAATATTAAAAGAATGCAAAAGGGACTCATTTCGTGGAATTACCCACTTACTGCATACCTGTAGATTATCTGTACTTACCTGTAGCTTACTTGTACATACTAATGGTCAAGCACAGACTAACATGCAACTTATATCTCTTTTCCCCTATATGCTGAACTGTGCATCACCCCTGAGGTGGCACCCAGTCGTTTGTCCGGCCCACCCTACACCTCCAGCCCCTGCCTCTAATTCTCTGGCATTTCCTCCAGAGGTATTAGGTGTTCCTGGGTCGTATGTGTTTAGAGGCACAGAATGACCTCGGAGCATAAATGGGCACCATTGATGGCAAGGCCAAAAACACACTGTTTGCGTCTCAAATGGCATCCTATTCCCTACATAGTGCACTACTTTTAACCAGGGTCAAAAGTAGTGCAATAGGGAATAGAGTGCCATTTGAGACGCAGAACTGCCCCAACCATGGGCACTGGGCCTGTGGGCCTGTTTGTGTGTCACTCAGTTTGACTTGGCGTGGTGTAAATAACAGGTCTGTGTTGCTGAGGTTATTACTTTTCTCTAAAGCGCTCCTTTATATTGTTTATATGGTTTCACTGTGGACAGCACATTGACACATTGAGAACTAAAGGGTTTTGTGTGAACATTACATCAGTGTACTGTGTTTTGTCTTCTTTTTCCAGCTTGGATCATCTGCCATTCCTAGACAGATGCCAGACACAGAGAAATGGGTCATTTATGGGTCATCAAAGTCCTCATTGAGGACTGTATGTCAGTATGTTGTCGTTTTGCCACCTCACTTAAATGGACGTTTTGGTCAGTCCTTACAGACTACTACATCATCCACAAACAAACATGTTATTTATTTGTATGTATTTGAACATTGTGGGAACATTAATGATGAATGAAATCAAATAAATCAAATAAATTAATTATGCATGTCAGGAGCTGGTCATTTTTCCAATACACCTATTATAGTGTTCGTATTTAATCAACACTGTCCAGTACAAGCATAT